TCAGGTGAAGGTGGAAGAGTTCTGAGTTCCAAATATTTTTAAAGGTTGGAAATGGGAAATTTCAGCCTGAGTATTCCCACTTCCAACTTGTCTGGATCACGGCATTAGCAACTACCAGTAAATTAGACGACCCACACTTCCTTTCCATGAAACCACAACCTCTAAAAACATGTGGGCCAACAAACCTGAGCACTTGATTGGCTAATGCCTGTTTTTTTGTTTGTGGTTTAAAGAGTCTATACATATCTCAAAGCAAAAATTTTAGTGATATGATAATTTTATGTGTGATATTACAAAAATTTGTGTGTTCGTGCGCTTGCGCGTGCCTCAAAAGAGGGCTTACAATGACTTACAAAGATACATAACAGCTACAAGTGTATGCACTACTTGCTTTATGCAAGCACTATATAGGATAAATCACTATACAGGATTTACCCTATTATACATGCTTTATTAGAAATCAGTGTACCATCAGAATGATGTTGAAGTTGATATTTCAAGGTAAAAAGAAACAAATTACATACAGTTGCTTTAAGTAGTACATACAAGTTATATACAATGTCAATATATTCTGTCTTTATTCATCGAAATGTTCCACCAGAGTTCCAAAATTCCGATTCAAATTTTTTCCAAGTTTGATGTCATGGTCGCTAAAATGCATTTAGAATCATGATGTGACAGTTTAAATATGTTGGAAGGAGAATGGTAGTTGTAATTATGACATTTAAGTAATTACATTTGTGTCTGTTCCTCATGCAAAGCCATCAAAATAAAATGACTTTCATTGACAAGTCAACAGCATGCAGGTTTGGAACAACATGAGAGTGAGTAAATACTGAACTATCCCTGTAACTATTTGTCTCAGAAGTAGCTGTGTGTGATAGATGTGCAGTGTATCACAGTCAGATCTTGAGGGCAGTAGGCATGTGCCAGCTAGATTTCACCTTCCATGGTACCACCCACTGTGTGCCATATGTCCATTCTACCGAGATTCACTTTGGCGTTTTATGAGGTTTGAATAGCAATCCATGTGCATGAAGGTTTTATACTGGAGTCTGTGTTGATATTGGTTCTTTTTGGGTTGTCGAGTCCCTGCCAAGATGCAATTTCTGTCCACCAAAGCTGTCTGATAAAAGTTTATTTCATGCCTTTCTCAAATGTGCGACTGTGATTTCCCTTGCTGTTTTTCATGGTTGTTTGTTCTGTAGATAGGAGGACTGGAGCACCATTACCATTTCCATCACAGCAGGGTGGTCCGCAGATCCACCTTTGCCACCAGAGGCGCTCACAGCTTCATTCACATGGACCCGAAGGTAAGCCTTCCCTCCTGTGGCCACATTACCATCACCAAACAAACAAGTTAAAGCAACAGTGCACCCAAAAATGAAAATTTGCTCAAAATGTACTCACCCTCAGGCCATCCAAGATATAGATGAGTTTGTTTCTTCATGGGAACAGATTTGGAGAAATGTAGCATTGCATCACTTGCTCACCAATGGATCCTCTGCAGTGAATGGGTGCCGTCAGAATGAGAGTCCAAACAGCTGATAAAAACATCACAATAATCCAAAAGCAATCCACACCACTCCAGTCCATCAATTAACATCTTGTGAAGGGAAAAGCTGTGTGTTTGTAAGAAACAAATCCATCATTCAGTCTTCCAGTTGAAAAAGTTATCTCATCTGAATCAGGAGTGAAATATGCACAGATCAAGCACCGTTTACAAGTGAAAATAGTCCAAAACAGTTCTAAACAAATATGATTTTGATGTGAGAGGACAACAGGAGAAGGACCTTTTCACTGGAGAAAGCATTATTATTCATTGTGGACTAATATTTTGATGATGAAATTGAATTTTTACAAACATGCAGCTTTTCTCTATTGTGATGTTTTTATCAGCTGTTTGGACTCTCATTCTGACGGCACCCATTCAATGCAGAGGATCCATTGGTGAGCAAGTGATGAAATGCTACATTTCTCCAAATCTGGTCCCATGAAGAAACAAACTCATCTACATCAAATAAATGCAGCTTTGGTGAGCATCAGAGACTTCTTTTAAAAACATTTTAAAAAATCTTACTGACCCAAACTTTTTAATAATACTGTACGGTATTGTAACTAAAACAAAACTTAAAATGGTAGTTTGCAGCTGCTGTCTTCATGAAAAGTCTCATTTAGTTGATCTAAATGGCCTCAAACAAAACTATTGAATATATTTCAAAAATTGTATGCATAAACTTGGCACTGTGCAGGCCATCTGACACACGATCTGAGTCTGTGCTGCTGAATCATAAACACCCGCTGATGCCGGAGGGATGGTAGTTAAAAATTTACAGCTGAATGTGGCAGCAGTGGTGCATTCATAGCATGTTTCATTGTCCGCATGTCCTGCAGTATGCTGTGTTGTAGTGAATCTGAAAAAAATTAAAACTTTAACTTTGACTTTAGTGGTATTATTTTCAGTATGGTGCAGTTTCTGATGCGTCATCACGGACAGAAGGCACAATGTGTCATAAGGAATAAAACAGACTAAAACTAAAGATGTGGATGAGTATTCAGGTAGTCATGTAAACATTTGACAAATTCAGTTCACCTATTATCTAAGAGGCCTCATTTGTAATTTTGGGGTTGAGTTATGGCATAATTTTTCATGTTACGTATCATTTTTAATGGTATCTTGCAGTCTGATTTTTTTCAACGCTGTACAGGGTGACTTTGCATAATTAAGCAATAGCACAGATGGACCCCCCTCCCACCACCATGTACAATGACCGAAATTCACCACCGTAAAACTATATCTGAATCTTTATGGAAAGTAATTACAAAAAAAAAAAAAAAACGTTATATTTATATAACTTTTTCAGCCCCACCAGATTTTTGCAGGCCCAAAATAATTTAAATTGGTTGCAACTTTTGAAAAAATGTAGATATTTGCTGGATTTTTTTGTGTGGATTTGCATAAGGCAATGGTGACACCAGTATAGAAATATTCATAATTCTGCTTCACTGAAAATACAGAATTGTTTTAGACACACAGATGCTTGCATACTGTCACTGATTACATTTGTATTTTAAAGATTTTATATTATTCTTTCATGCTTTGACAACATACCAGTTATATTATTTTCTATTGTTGTAATATTGTTTTTTGGATTTTTTTTTATTTTTTATTAATACTGTCTTCAACTGCATTCATTCAAAATATTAAAAATGTGCAGCTGAACACCTATTAATCAGACCCCCCCCCCCAAGTAAATTTTTTTTTAACACAAAAATGCAAGATAATGCTGCAATCATAATCTAGTTGTCTAATAAATCTGCCATTTTGTATTATAAATATTACTGTTTGAGTACTTGCTTTATTCCTCTTTTGTAAGTCGCTTTGGATAAAAGCGTCTGCTAAAAGCATAAATATAAATTTAATTGGTTGCATTTGTGTTGCATTCCCAACTTGATGGACTGGATTATGCATCATCGAAATGAACTAAAAACTGAAACTAAAAATGCAAAATAGAATAAAACTAGTAAAATCTTCTAAACTATAATAACATTTCCTAGGAGCTGTAGCAACCATTATATGGAGGACAATTTTTAGGTAATTTTTTTTAGACTTTACTAAGGGCAAAATTGTAGTTAGTCACATATACAAACTATTTCAAACTATTTTAATAAATGTAAACTATTTTACAATCCTACTCAATCTAGTGTCTATTTACCATTGTATGCCTTTCAGCAAATCAGGTAGGAGAACCAAGACTGCTGTTGAATATTAATTAAGACTGCTCAATGAATATTCATGAGCCAAGCTGTTAAGTTCTGTTACAATTGTGCCCTCCCTACTTTTCACATGGCTGTTCAGCCTCTCCATCTTGCACGTTAAATCACATCGGTCCTGGACGCATCAATATGACGAGCAGCCGTGTTTGTCCAAGACTTCATTTGACAGAGCAGCCAGGCATTCAAAGTCAAGCTGTTTCCAGGGTTTGGAAAGCGGCCCTCTCCTGCTAAGATTATCTCTTCCCGACAGCAGGCATCTCGGGAGTAATAAAACAGTCCAGGTCCCTCAAACACTCATCCCACATGAGGAAAAGCATGATTATTACAGATATGGGTATCTAGATATAAATCTGGAATTTTCAAATGTACCTTGATTTGTTTCCATACTTTAATTAGGTTTGAAATAACTATGTTACCATTGATATTTTTTACTTCAATTTTTAATGTCTTTTAGTGCTAATTATTATACATCCTAACTATATATCTGAACAAGTTAATAACCGATTCTTCTGAATCCGTGAGTGAATGCGAGAGTTATTCGACCGATTCAAACCAGTAACTCATGTTTTTGAGTGTTTTCGGCTGATTGATTCAAAAGAACCGGCTCATAGGAGTCACTTGTTCATCATTTGCCTGATTCAACAATGGTCAACAGCAGTTGGTCATGCAGATGGTTTAGATGAGTTGTCTGTTTATTTTCTCTCATCACATTCAATACAGCCTCCAAACAGCTCGCTGGAGATTCATTAGTGGATCAGGAGTTTTTCAGTATGATCCAAAGATTCAAGGATCTTTAATGGAACCAAATGTCATGAAAATCATTCGGTTCTGTTTGTTGTTTTATTGATTTATTTCATAGAACATATTTTGAGTAAGAACATGTACTTGATTCCCAACTCAATCCATGCATTTATAGCACTAGGACTGTAACAGAGAAAAACGTAATTATTGCAGAATGTGATTTTCATTACATTTCCCTCTGGACCTTTTTAATGAAAGCAAGAAAGCGTATGCGCTAGTGATTCTAAAGTTAAGCTCTTCTGAGGGGAACCATGAATTCAGGCATTGCTGCAGGGACAGATAAATCTACAGGAATGGCTGGGTCACTTTTCTAATTAGAAGACTAGTGCACATCCCTTATTTACAACAGATGATGCATTTTAAGGGAATGATAGAGAGATCTAGATAGGATGTGCCCAGTGCTGCACTAATCAGTATGAAATGCACATTTTTTTAGACTAGCACAGCACACACACATTCATTGTTGGTTTATATTAAGTATTCAAGATGAAATATGATTCCACTACCCAAATGTAATGATTATGAATGAAATAGCTCATACTTAGCAGAGCAAACACCTAAAAGTATTCATCATACACACTACTATTAAGAAGTTTGTAAGATTTGTTGGAAGGAAATACTTTTATTTATGCAATGCATTGAAAAATTGTTCAAAAGTGACAGTAAAGACTTTTACATTGTTACAAAAATCTATTTAAAATAAATACCGTTCTTTTGAACTTTCTAATAATCAAAGAATCCTGAAAAAAAAATCATGGTTTCCGCAAAAATCTGAAGCAGCACAATTGTTTCAACACTGATAATAATAGAATGTTTCTTGAGCAGCAAATCAGCATATTAGAATGATTTCTGAAGGATCATGTGACACTGAACACTGAAGAGTAATTATGCTGAAAATACAGCTTTGATCACAGGAATAAATTATATTTTACAATTTATTCAAATAGAAAACAGTTATATCAAAATGTAATAATATTTCATAATTTTACTATTTTTACTGTATTTTTAATCAAATAAATGAGCATAAGAAACTCCTTTCAAAAACTTTAGTGTAGATGACATTAATGATTCCCTGAATCATGACTTCTTGAGGTGTGCTACTACTTTCCTAAGTGAACAGACTTATAATTTGTCTTGTGTTTCATGAAATGGAATTATTAAAGGGGTCATATGATGATTTTTTAAAGATCATTATTTTGTGTATTTGGTGTAACAGAATATGTTGACATGCTTTAATGTTCAAAAAACACATTATTTTTCAAATACTGTACATTATTGTAGGTCCTCTATGCCCCGCCTCCCTCAAACGCTTCGTTTTCTACAAAGTCCCTCCTTCCGACAAGTCTCAATATTTTGGATGATGTGACTATATTTTTTCCTCAGGCTGGATTTGGGGAAGCATACCTCGGAGTACTGTATTCCCATTTGTTTCTCCATGACTTCATAAGCCTCATGTAATGGAAAAGCTAGAGCGTGACTAAATACAGGCCGCACGTTTCACAGCCGTGTTTATGTGCATGAAGGTGAGCCGAAACTGTTTATTCTTTGATGTGAGTCAGTGTAACCTGGGCTCTTTCTGCAGGTTGACTGGGTGCAGCAGCAGCTGGTGAAGACGCGAGTCAAACGTCACGCCAGGAGCGACCCGAGCTACATCCACTTCAACGATCCCAAATGGTCCAACATGTGGTACATTGTTAGTAGATATTTCACACATTCAGTCCTGTATTTCATATCTGCGCTGTCTTTACTTTTGACCCTTTTTTTCAAATGAAGATATTTAGCAAATGAATCGTTGGCGTTTCCAGTGACTCCTAGAGAAAAGGGCCAGTGATTTGCGCTTCATTAAACCAGCTCGTTTGTGTAGCTCCTGTTGTTTTATTTATTTTATAGCAGGGCTGTTTCCGCTGCTCTTGCCTCATAAAAACCGATCTGTGTAGTAGCAGTGTATGTGCATCAGTTGTTTCCCTAACAAGCTTGATGCCTTTGAATCACAAATGAATTTATATTGTAGGTTCGGTGATGTCGGGAGGAAATTAACGAACAATAACGCTAACGCTGGCATCCATCAGGCCAAATTACAGTCATAAGCATCATTTTACATAGTTGTTCAAGAATCAAGAATTCCCTCAACAAGCCAATGCTATTTCAGAAAATAAGCTCTGTGACCAACCACAGTTTATGATTCTTGAAAGTTTTGTTCATTAAGAAAATCTTCATAAATGAACAACTTTTATGCATTTTGAAGCCTAAATACAACCGTCAGAAGTAAAAAGCTAAAGTTAGGTTATAAACAAAGTACTCCATGATTGCATGACTTTTACATCACCAGACAACAGCTTCTGATAACTCTTTCAATCTGTATTTAAAAAACACGTTTCCTGATATGGAAGATGTTTCTACCATGGGATAAAAATGTAACTTGCAACTTTTTATCTCTTTTTATTTTATCTCGCAGTTCTGAGTTTATACAGTGGGTACGGAAAGTATTCAGACCCCCTTAAATTTTTCACTCTTTGTTATATTGCAGCCATTTGCTAAAATCATTTAAGTTAATTTTTTTTCCTCATTAATGTACACACAGCACCCCACATTGACAGAAAAACACAGAATTGTTGACATTTTTGCAAATTTATTAAAAAAGAAAAACTGAAAAATGCTCAGTATTTAGTAGAAGCACCCTCTTGATCTAATACAGCCATGAGTCTTTTTGGGAAAGATGCAACAAGTTTTTCACACCTGGACTTGGGGATCCTCTGCCATTCCTCCTTGCAAATCCTGGGGTCTGAATACTTTCCGTACCCACTGTATCTCTGAAAAAAGTCTGAATTGTGAAATTTAAACGCAGATTTGTGAGATATAAACTTGCAATTGTGAAAATAAATATAATAGTGAGATAAAGTTGCAACTACCCTTTTTATTTTTTTATTCTGTGGTGGAAACAAAAAAGCAGAATTGAAAGATATAAACTCAGAAATCTGAGAAAAATCTCACAATTGCGAGATATAAATTCAGAATTATGAGACAAAAACTCAAAATTGCGAGATAAACAGTCTTTTTATTGGTTTTTATGGTAACACTTTACAATAAGGTCCCATTAGTTAATGTTAGTTAAATATTAACTAACATGAACGAACAATGAACAATACATTTATTACAGTTTTTATTAATCTTTGTTCATGTTAGTTACTGAAAATACAGTTGTTCATAGTTAGTTCATGTTAATTCACAGTGCATTAACTAATGTTAACAAGCACAACTTTTGATTTTAATAATGCATTAGTAAATGTTGAAATTAACATTAACTAACATTAATAAATGCTGTTGAATTACTGTTCATTCTTAGTTCATATTAACTAAAGTAGTTGACTAATGTTAATTAATGAACCTTATTGTAAAGTGTTATCGTTTTTATTTGGAAACTGACTTCCATAGGATCCACTGTGCTCTTTTTTTGTGCTATTGTGGATGAATCTGATTGCATTATTATGTTGCTTTATTTTGGAGAAAATTCAGATCTTGTATACATGCATCTCTTTTGGATAGGTTTTCTTTGAGCCTAAATGTGCCTCCAGGAACTCTAATGCTTTAAAATCCAACTCATTGTGTGATATGTTAAATATATGTTTTTGTCTACAGCTTGATAAACTGATAAAAGTGATAAAAGTAGGAAAGTTTGTTGTAGAATAGCTTGCAAAAGTGCAAGAATGAACACAACTAGGCTGTAAAAGCGGACGAGTGAGTTTTCGTGTTCAGTGTGAGGACATTTAATGTCCCCGACAACCTCTGTAGTCCATTTAAACTCTTGTTAGCAACTGACAAGTATAAGCTTTGAAAAATCACAAGGAAGTATTACTGATGCATTTTACGTCCAGGTTTTAGGACTCATTCCTGCACTCTATAGACCAGGGGTGTCAAACTCAATTCCTGGAGGGCCGGAGATTCAACCCTAATTAAACACACCTGATCCAACTAATCATGTCCTGCAGACTTATTTGTAAACTATGTGTGTTGCAGCAGTGTTGGAACAAAACTCTGCAGGGCTCCGGCCCTCCAGGAATTGAGTTTGACAGCCCTGCTATAGACCAGGGGTTTGCAACCTTTTAGGACATGCGCGCTCCCATCACCGTTTCCGACTGTCACTCACGCCCCCCCCGAACATCCAACACTTCAGATATCCATTATAGCTATTAAAGCAGTGAACAATTTTTCTTTTGCTCTTTTTGATTAACATTATTTACATAAGAAATGCACGGATCCGTTATACTGATGTACATTTGATATTTTCTTTACTGTTTACATTCACTTAAAACAACCGACTGTGCTTACAAGGATACTTGTCAAGACAGCCATTGGTATATGACAACTCTGCTCTAACTGTCGACTAGCAGTGGGAGTCAGATAGCCCCCTAGTGGATGGCTAAAGATTTGTTAAATCATATTCATAAATTCTCAAGGGAACGTATCTGAATTAACTGATGCTGGCGCCCCCCTTGACAGGTGCTCGCGCCCCCCTGGGGTTGAAAAAGGTTGAAAACCCCTGCTATAGACAATACACATAAGTGGCTTTAGATGTCAATATTTTGTTTGTTTAATGTCTCTGTCATTACGTCTGTCACTGACCTATAGTTGACACTGACTGATTACTGTAAAGTTAGAATTAGTTAAAATTTGACACACAGCCTCCTGAATTCCTCTTTTTCTATCGCTTGTCTTCATTCTGTGCTGTTTACTCTTTATTAGTCTGGTTTACTGAGAGCAAACAGGTAAAAAAAAAAATAGAAGAAAATCTGTGAATCAGTTCTGATTCAATGAATCGACTCAGATTCAGTTATTTATTTATGTCCTATTTTAAACTGCATCTGCTGTATGATGATTGTGGAACCAAGATGGGGGTTAAATGATTCATAAAATCAGAAAGCAGAGGCAGAACAGCCTGTTTACTGAATATAAATCTTTTCTCTGAGCTTGAATCTGAGCTTTCCAAGTCAAGCCCTAAAAGAACAAATACACACACACACACACACACACATACACACAGACACACACACACACACACACACTTACAGGCAAAAGTAGCTTCATGAATTGTCCTTCTTCACTCTATAATGATTGTTTGTTTGCACTGTACTTCTGCTCCTATTCAACAAGCTTCACATTGATTACTGATCGAAGAGTCGGCTTGATCCTTGTAAACTGTTGCTCTTTTATCATTTTTTTCCCCTCCAAAGTGTCTTTGAAGAACTGTAGACCTTGTCAATTTTATGCAAATCCTTTTGGTCTCCATATATCAGTATCAAACACTAGACGATTAATGGTTAATCCATTAGAGCCAATGTTTTCAGACATTATTAAAGCATATTCTGTGTTTATTTGCACTCGTATGATTAATATTCCAGCACAAAGGAATCTGAGACTGTTTCCAATCCGTCCTCTGATGTTGACTTCGCACTGGGACGTCTTTGTTGATCGTGTCCTCAAAGACGACGTTGAAAAGAATCATAAATGAGACCCTCAAGGACACGCAAACCTCTGCTGCTGAATAAACATGAATCTACCCGTTTAATTTACAGGGTCACGCGGCCGCTTGTTATGACATATCTCCTCTCAGACGGATTGAGCCATAAGGTTACTGAAGTAATAAAGGCTTGTGTTTCTGGAGAGCCGAGAATATCGCTTCAGCCTAATTGTCTTCCAATGTTTCCTGTTTTCAAAGTCAAAAGCGTGTGCCTGAAACTGATAGCAAGTGAAGGTACGTTGATGACTTCTTACTGTTTTGCAGCACTGTAGTGATAAAAACAGCCGCTGCCGTTCAGAAATGAATATCCTTGCGGCGTGGCAGAGAGGCTACACCGGTCGAAATGTGGTCGTCACCATCTTGGACGACGGTATTGAGAGGAACCATCCGGATCTGGCGCAGAATTATGTGAGATTATCTTGATCTTCTGTTGCAGGTCATGCATTATTGCTGTAAATGCATTTTATTATGGCAAGACACTAGAGCAGAAACACTGGTCAATTGTTGAGATTTTCAGATTTTCATAAATTGTCTTCTTTCAGACTAGTAGAAAGAAAACACCCAAAATACACTTTTAAGTGTTTATTTTATTATACTTTATAATTTGTTTTTTTTGTCTGTAGATTTCAATTATATAGATATATTTAAAATCTGTTTTCTAAAAAGGTGAACAAAATGAAACAAGAATTTTAAATCTGGCTTTATCCAATGTTCAGGTTTCTGTTCTGGGGATGTATGCAAATACATGCATATTTAAATAGATAATACATCATTTGCATATTTAAACATAAGATCTCAGAAAAGTTGTAATAAAAAATGTTTGCAATTCTTAATGAAGTCAATCAGAAATAAGATTGTGATTAAGTTCGTTAATTTATTATTAGTTCATTTTTATGTATTATTGATTTTTAGTTTTAACCTATTCACCTGGGGTGTCTTGAGTATTATTTTTTGTATCATGAATATAGTATGATAGTCTTTTTTATTATTTCTTAATATTCTTATGCTGTATTTTCCATTTTTTAAATGTCTATATAGTTTTTAATTTTATTTCAGTTTTATATTTGTTATTTTCTGTTTCAGCTTTAACTTAAATTAAGCAAAAATTACAAATATTTCCTTGGCAACTACACTGTAAAAAATTATTTTTCAAAGATGTAAATAAGACAGATTATTGGAGTAGGTTTTACAACAAAAAAAATACTATTTCACTATTTTTACTTCAAAATTTCAATTAAATAAATGTAATTCAATGCGTTACTTGCTGTTTTTTTGTAATTATTAGTGAAATTTACTAGCAATTTTACACCAATTTTACACCAATTATTCACTATGTTTATTAAAAATTTTCACATTTAATTCAATGTGTTACTTGCCATTTTTTAAATTATTGGTGAAACTTACTAGCAATTTTTACACCAATTATTCACTATTTTTATTAAAAATGTTCGCATTTAATTCAATGTGTTACTTGCCATTTTTTGTAATTATTGGTGAAACTTACTAGCAATTTTTACACAACTTTTTATTCAGTCTGATATTTACTGACAGTACAACTGAAAGCTTTTTATTTTTTTCCGATAACATTTTTTTTCACTTCACGTAAATGTTTTTAATATTTTCAGTTTTAGTTAACAATATTAGCACTGCTCAACACAGTATGATTTTTTAAATAATTGTTTGTTACATATTTTAGCACTGTAGATCACTAGAGTGGAAAACGAAATGTTAATTTCACTCTAATTCCTCAGAAGATTTATTTGTGTGTTTGTGCGTTATTTAGGACCAGCTGGCGAGCTACGATGTGAACGGAAACGACTACGACCCGACCCCACGATACGACTTCAGCAATGAGAACAAGTGAGTCCTGATGTCCTCAAAACTACTCTTGTATTAAACGCACCTCATTTGCTGCAAACACATGTGTGTCTGGCTCTGAATGATCATGCAGTGGGTAAGTGAAAGCCGTCACATCCTGTAAGCAGTGAGATTCTCTAATAAACCCGGTGGGATTTCATAATGATCTCGTGTGGAAGCAAGTGAGTTTGGAAAATCTCAGCGTTATTTTTGAGCAGAAGACTGGAACTGTTGGCTTCACAGAGTCTCACCTGCAAGCTGAAAAAACTGGAAGATTGATTTGAATTTTGAAGGTCATAAGCTTTGTGTAGTTAAATAACTGGTTAGTTTGAAGAGAGATCTGAAGTTTTGTAGGTTTATCAGTCTTGCTAGGCAGTTGCTAGAGTGTTAGGTAGTTGGTAGCAGTGTTGGGTTAATGATTTACAAGTAACGTGAGTTACTTAAACAGATTACTTTTTCAAGTAACTCATAAAGTAACGGATTACTTTTTAATTTACAAGAAAAAGAATCACTTTTTCAGATAAGAAACGCTTAAAAAGTAACTAAGTAACGCAATTAGTTAGCTTTTTAGGGATAGGGATTAATGCAATATTGTAATGCATTATTTTTAAAGGAACACTCCACTATTTTTGAAAATAGGCAAATTTTCCAACTCCGCTAGAGTTAAACTGTTGAGTTTTACCGTTTTCGAATCCATTCAGCCGATCTCCGGGTCTGGCGGTAGCACTTTTAGCTGTAGCTTAGCATAGATCATTGAATCTGATTAGACCGTTAGCATCAAGGAACTTTGGGAGCAGCAGGCGCAATAATATTACGCAGCGCCTGAAAATAGTCCCAGCTAGGTAACTTCCAATAAGCCTATTTTCAAAAATAGTGGAGTGTTCCTTTAAAAGTAACTTTCTCCAACACTGGTTGTTAGGGTGTATTACGGTGCTGGCTATTTTGGACCGCAATAGATGGATCTATGATAAATAGAGCAATGTTTTGAAACTCTGGCATCTTCAAGAGCTGTGATATTTGGAGCGATGCAAATAAAGGCGTAACGCTGGACTCGTGTGGTTTTGCATGTCAAAGAATGAAGAGGCTTTCTTTTGTGGCGAAGCACTGAAACCAATCCAATCCTGTGGGATTGAGGCTGGTGTGGATTTAATTGAAAACGTCTCTGTCTTTGATAAGGACCTGATTTAATGCTTGTTCTCTGCATGTTTACCAATGAACTCTGCCAAGAGCTCAGGCAAAACTTCAAAGCGCTGTTTTGTTAATACTCATCAGGACATTTGAAACCGGAAAACAATGCGACGTTCAATTCATTTTTGAAGTGTGGAACGTGCCTCCCGGAGCAGAAACTTAATTGAGTGAGGACAGGAAAAAAAAAAACTATTGAAAGAGACTTTAGTAAAGAAGTGCACAGAGCGAACGAGAGCGAGTGAACAATGCACAAGATAAAAATGCAATGAATGCCTTTCTAATGCAGCGGGCAGCGCTCCTGTGCTCCTGGATCCGCAGTGACGGTGTGGACGGAGGATCGACTCGCATATCAGTTTGAAAATGTGCCTTCAGAAACAAAGTTTTCGCTTTTGGTTACCAAAATTTCGTTCACCCTATTTACTTTGTTAATGCACGATCATGTGACACTGAAGACTTCTGAAAAATCAGCTTTGTATCAAAGGAATAAATTACATTTTACAATATGTTAAAATAGAAAACAGTTATTTTAAATTGTAATAATATTTCACATTATTACCCCTTTTACTGTATTTTGTAATAAAATGCACAGTGTTTACCATATAAAAAAAAAAAATCAGTCTTGATGAGCATATATATGGTGATATCAAATTATTTCACAATATGAGAATTTTTTCCTCAGAATAACTATATATATATATATATATATAGTTATTTTAGTATCATTGAGATACTTTTATATATTTATAATATCTAATATTTTTGCTAGTTTTTTATTTTTATATTTTCCATTTTATTTTTTATTTTTAATTAGTTTTTTTATATTTCTATATAGTTTTTATTAATTTGTATTTCAGTTTCAGTTTTTTGTTGCCTTGTCAACTTTGCTGAAATTTAATATTTTAAATATTTTTATGGTTTAAGTTTTACTTAACTCTAAAAACCCAGACTGTAAATTGTTATAATATTGTATTAATAATAATACAATGTGTATTTTTAATCAAATAAGTGCAGGCTTGGTGAGAATAAGATATTTTCAAAAACATTAAATATCCCAAGTTGGAGCTAAACTCTGCAGGCCCTCCAGGATGAGTTTGGAGACCCCTGTCGTAGCCAATAAGGCAAATCACTATGGCTTGAATCAGATGCAGTGTCTTAGTGTATTTTTTTTGGCCTTTTTACAGTTTTAATTACCAGTGTGAAGAGGTCAGAATAAAATAAGGAGATAATAGAAAAGAAAGACTCAAAATTCTGATCAAACTCAGGCTCAAACACACTAACATATCTCAAATATTAAATCTTGTGAGATTTATGATTGCATTTTTTTTTCTTTTCAGGCACGGAACGCGATGCGCAGGTGAAGTCGCTGCTGTAGCCAACAACTCGCACTGCATTGTGGGTATTGCCTACAACGCCCGCATAGGAGGTACGCGTGAGTCTGTTTACAGTCTGCTTACTTTCCCGCTCGCCTTATTGTCTCAGAAATGTCAGATGCTATTTCAGTTTGAGACCCGTTGCAGCCTACACTCAACACACACACGGATCGGCAAAACTGAACAATTGCCGCAAGTGGATAAACCCTGATCAAGCAACAGGTTTCAGATGCAGTCAGAGCAGATAAGACAGGATTATTCTGCATGTGTGCACAGGATTAAAGCAGCGAGATGCCCACGCTCCTGTCCGCCTCTGCTCGGAGAGTTCATTAATTTAGTGGACAGTGAACTGCCCGACATTCATGCGCTCATCAGCAATTAATCCTATGAAAAGGCTGATCAGTTTTAATCAAAAAGCAGATATCATGATATGCCATCAGCCATCTGGGGCCGTTTTGTTCAGGCCCGCAGCTGTGCTGAAAGATGCAAATTTTTCTTTATTGTACTCGCAGGTGGCAGGACTGACAAATGCATCCTTTGCTCAGACTTGGCGGGGTTTCTGTCAGTGTTGTTCCAGTCGCACCATATGCCAAATGCATAAAGTTCAGCGATGCAACTCTGAGGATAGGGCTACATATGAAAGTCTGTTTATTAGGAGCCAAGCGAGAGTTGAATTCATTTGCTTTCATTCATTTTACTCGCTGGCACTGGAGCCTGTGGCAGCAGTTTGAAGGAAAGTTGTGAAATGTGACTTTTAGAGTTTCTCAGACTTGAATGATTTCATAACCCACACTGTTTGTGGACCCACTTCAGCAATATTTAAATCCACAACAGTTGAGATATTAAGGGTGTTTGTTTAGCTGGTGCTAAAATGTTATACATTTTTCTAACAAACTAATAATTTTAAGCACTAATTTGGACTGTTGAACACTCTAAAAAATAATGTGTTAATAGAGTCAATGTAATGTTTACCTTCATTTAGTCTTTTTACTTTTCAGCACAAACCACAAAAACTTCAACATAACAGAAAATCTTTTAAATGTCAAACATAATAGCATTAAACACTAAAGGGTCTTTCCCTTCACTTAAAGTGCCCCTATTATGGGTAATGAAGGGTTCATATTTTGGTTTTGGCAGTCCCCAACAACAGGTTGACATGTATGCAAGGGCAAAAAACACTTCCATTGTCTTATAATATGCATTTATTTTGACCTTATTTGCTCAACGACTCCCAAACGATTCGTTTAACGATTCATTTTTCCAAAGTCCTCCTTTGCGTGACGCTAATCTGCGCTGATTGGTCCGATTGGTCTCATTTTCATTTCATCATGTCTATAATGCCTGATAAAGCAGCGTTTGTGAGCGCAGTGCTGCTTTGTGTACAGC